AAAAGAATAAAAAAGTTCTCTCCATCAAGACAACAGTAGATGAGGTTTTGCTTGAAGATCCTTACAACTATATCATAAAATGTGGATTATCAAGAACTGCACCCCAGCCAGCGTCAAATGACACATTATGCCCCTTTTCCACAAGTTGACACAGATTCTTGGGAGTCTTGATAATACAAATGTGATATATGTTGGTCAAAATCCAAAGTATCATGATCCCCTTCTCAACCCTGTTCTCAAAGGCCTGTCTGTAGGCATGTTCCTTCCCTCTCTCCTGTTGGAAGGGGTGGTGTTGATTGGGTGGTGTTTGTGCACCAGTAAATCTGGCAGCAGGATACTGTTATCACCATTATCTGTTCACGTTACAAAACAACTCAAAAACACATGTACGGATGGGAACAGCGCTTGAGGAGGAATCTCAAGATGAGTAACTTTATCGGGTGGAGAGGGACCACAGGTGCTGCTACAGAAGCTGAGAGCTGGGAACTCATCGTGTGAACTCACACAGGAAAAGAAATATCGACACAGTTTGTGCTGATTCCTGCCTCCAGAGACATTTGGAGTCAATCAGAAGTAAATGTAGCTTATTGTGTGTCTGTCTGTAAAGTGCACACCGTGACTGACACCTGCTTCAGTCTGAAAGTTTCCGCTACAGAGAAGGAGAAACTCAGGGTGAAAACAACTCGCTGTGTCTCCACTGAAGCTGAAACAGGCCCCGGGTCGACTGTTCTCTGTCTGGACAAACCGCAGAGCTCACTAGAAGCCACATTGTGGTTATACGGACCGATTCTATGAAGCTTGATTTCAGCTCTCATGAAGATACCCAGAAGTCTGCGCTGACGATCGTCCTCTTCCTCCGAAGACATCGCTGCTTCGTGGACAACTTGAACGTAAACCTGCGACACGACCGCGACAACGACTTCCTGCTAACTGCTAACATCCATGGAGCTAACACTGCTTACGCTGCTGCGCTTTGTTCGTCTACTTCCGCTGTGTGTCACACTGGGAAGTTCCGACACTGAGCGACAGACTCAGCTCTATATTTCCGCCTTCAGTCACGTGTCCTACGATCCTATGGAGTCACTCCTCATGAATATTATACATTTTTTATGATCTACATTTCTTTACTGTTAGCACATTTCACTCATCACTTTTTAAGTCTTACGGAAACAACCATTTAGTGTTTTCTTTATAAAACAACTTTATTAACAAAGCATGTATTTCTACAAGTATTGCAGATATGTGCTCAACACAGAAAATATTCAGCTAAAGCGACAGTTCAGTTCAACAGACACATAGATAAATAAACATCAGCGATAATAAATAAAACAAGAGACAAAACTTACATATTTTCTTAACTTGTAGATCAGTGGTCATCAATGTTTTCAAGCCCAGTCACAGTTTAATTCCAAAGGTAAACTGAGATCCACTCCATATCTTATAAAAAACCCACTTATGGTTTCTCTGTAATAACAGACTCAAGGTACGAACATACATACACTCAAAGACCTCTTCTGTTCAATGCACAATATTCACATTAACAGTAAGAACATCTCTTCAATACAAACTATTCATATTTATAGCATCTGTTGAATGAACGACATTTAGCTTCTCAGTTCAACAATAAGTTCTGCAGTTGAGGCGCTACTTTACTTTACAAAGGGTTTGCTTTGAAAATGGCCACAAACCTGACTGCTGTATTTTCTTGTATAAAAGTACTGAAATAAAAACCAGGACTATACAGTATGAAGCCATGAATCTTCCGCTCCCGCAAATATTTCACAATTTAATGCTCTCCAACAAATTAATGGGTTCAGTCAACAGAAACGCAGGAGTGCTTTTATGTTGAAGCGGGTACAGGAAGTGTTACATATATTTAATAGATATACATTGTGGTGAAAGATCATTTTCACTGTCTATTCCGCTGCGAACTGCGCACAGAGAAAATCAACGAGACCATGAATCTCCAGAAGAGCAGCCCAGCTGAACCTTGGCTGAACTGCAGGTGGTGTAGACAACCAGCATTGAAAGAAATATTCTACTAATTCAAGTTGATTGACATGGCACATTTCATGAAGCCACATAGAACATCTTTTGCTTAATTTGTTTATTTCACATTGGAAGACTGAAATAATAAAACATAATCAAAATTATTTCATATATAATGCACAAAAGATAAAATTAGAGTAAATGTTCCAGAAAAGACTGTAGTTGCAGGGTGACTATACAGTACCAGATTATTTATCATCTTCAACATCAGGAACTTTGTATAATGGCATACAACTGAGTTGATGTATAAAAACAGCAAAATGAAAATTAATTAAGAAGTCAGTTTTTTACTTTCAAGGGAAGTATGTACTCACGTTTTGTTAACTAAGCCCAGTTATCTCCAACAACAACTTAATATAACTCCAATTCAACTCGGTGCTTGGTAGTATCAACATAATTCAGCTGGTTCCCTTAAGAGCAGAACCTGACTGATAAGGATCTTGGGGGTTTATAGGAATAATTTCAAGCCTTGGCAGGAATGTTGACAATCATCTATTGTTGTTCAAGGTGCTTCAAAGGGGATGTGTCCAAATTTAAATCAGGAACAGTTTTCAAGACATTTCACTTTAAACTATCTTTAGAAGTTGCAGCAATAATAATTTTCAGCAGTGTAGATTGTCATGTGTACCACTAATTATCCATTAAGCCTGTTTAGTTCATGTAAGATTTGAACCTGTATGAACTTTTAAATGCCTTTTCATGTCTGACGACTGAAAGAATCTTTTCCCACAGATGTTGCAGGAGTATGGCTTCTCACCTGTGTGTCTCCTCATGTGGACTTTCAAATAATTACCACGTGTGAAACCTTTCTGGCATATTTGGCAAGAATACGGCTTCTCACCTGTGTGAGTTCTAATGTGGACTGTCAAATCACGACCACATCCAAAACTTCTCCCACATGTTTCACAAGAGTATGGTTTCTCACCTGTGTGCACTCTCATATGTTCATTCAAAGCTGAGGTGTTACTAAATCTTTTCCCACAGGTGCTGCAGGAGTACGGTTTCTCACCTGTGTGTGTTCTGATGTGGACTTTCAAGACGTTACTGCTTACAAAGCTTTTCCCACATAATCTACAAGAAAATGGCTTCTCACCAGTGTGAGTTCTCAAGTGGACTTTCAAGACCGAACCACGCACAAAACATTTCCCACATATTTTGCAAGAATATGGCTTCTCTCCTGTGTGCACACTCATATGTTGATTCAACGCTGAAATGTCACCAAATCTTTTGCCACAGTTTTCACAAGAATTTGGCTTCTCACCTGTGTGGGTTCGCATGTGGACTTTCAAGATGCCACTACATACAAAACTTTTCCCACATGTGTCACAAGAATACGGCTTCTCACCCGTGTGACGTCTCATGTGGACTTTCAAGTAACCACTGCGTACAAAACTTTTGTGACATATTTTGCAAGAATATGGCTTCTCACCTGTGTGGGTTGTCATATGACTTTTCAATGTGAACATGGTAATGAATGCTTTTCCACACATTTTGCATAAATATGGTTTCTCTCCTGTGTGGATTCTCAGATGTATTTTCAAGTGACACTTATACAAAAAAGCTTTGCCACAAGTGTCACATTTGAAAGACTTTTCTCTTGAATGAGTATTAGTGTCAATCTCTGATACATTTCTAGTTGATCCTGAATCCACATGTTTTCTTCTGTGCTGATCTTGGCTCTCAGCTTCAGGAGAGTTGTGAGAGAGGAGCTGGTGCTCACCGACTGGTTCTGGTTCTCTGTCGTCACTTTCTTCATAATCAGGAGTCAACATGAAGGTTTCAGTCTCCTGCTTCAGTACGAGCTGCTCTCCCTCCTGACCGGTGCACATTTCCTCTTGTTCCACTTTAGTCTGAGGAGGTTTTGGTTCCTCTTGGTCCAGACTGGAGTTCCTCTCCTGGTTACAGAGCTGCTGGTCAGTGAGAACCTCCTCCTCTTTACAGACATGCTGCTGTGGGAGCTCTGGAGGAACAGAGAGACAAAGACAGAGGTTACAACTGTGATTATAAAATTAAGTCAACTGAGTTTCAGATATGACGATAGCTGTGAAAGTTTAATAACAAATCTAATTGCTTCTACATTTTAGAAATCAAGAAAAAAGTACAAAAAATAATTTTACCCATCCAGGAAAAAAGGATGAAGTCCTTAAAAAGAACACTTAACAAAATTTAAAAGACAATTACATAAATATCTATTTGCACAAAAAAGGTTGTGTAACCTACAACCTTTGCAAACACATCATGAGCACAGTGACCATGATTCATTGCTGTATCTGATTTGGATATTTTGTTATTTTTCATTAAGCATCAGAACAAAAGTTTTCTTCCTGTACTATTATCAAGGAAACACCAGCAATCAAGCAGCATAACTTTGTTGCCACAACATTTTGTTAAACCTATGTAAAGTCTCTAGGAAGCTTATTAATGGCTATTAGAAGAATTGAATTTCTATTCAAGAAGCAGAAGAATTGTATAAACAAGTGGACCAAATTAAGTCTACAAATAAAATGTGTGACTGAATTTTAAAAGTACAACATTCACTTCCGTGCTTGTGAGGAGGAGATGTGGTATGAAATATCCTCCTGGCATCTTTTCTTTCTTTTTTTTATTACAAAAAACAGTAAAAGATCTGTATTTAATATTTCCAAAAAATATGATAGATGTTTCATAACTCAGGGGGAACACTGTGTGTGGGATTTCACAAAGATGAAGTATGTTCTGAAGAGTCATTCGCTTCTCTGTGATAATCTAGTCCTGACTTGACCAATCTGAGTCTATTGTTCCTTATATCACGACCTGGTTCCATGTTCTCTACACGGGAAGAAAACTGTGAAATCTCTTTTGRTGCATTTTCACAAACACAATCAGTGTCTCACACAATCTGCACGTGTGTTTCCAAACTTCCTGGAATCATGTTTAGTGGAGGCCTGGTTTGACGAGGACAAATCCAGGTTCCATCTAACGTCAGGTTTTTTAATGAGACCTGCTGAAACAATGGTCACTGTTTTTAATGTTGGTGACAATGTTGAACATCGACAATCAAGGATTCTGGTACAGACCGATCCTGTGCAGCTTCACTTCAGGTTTCAGAACGATATCCAGCAGTCTGCGCTGACGATCCACCTCTTCTTCGTACTGGACGATGGTTTTTTCAAAGACTGTGAATATTTCTTCAGCAGCAGCAGTTAGTCGCTCACTGATCAACTCTCTCAAATACTGAACCGAAGACATCGCTGCTCCGTCAACTACTTGAAGATTCACCCGAGACACGAACACACTACCGCCTTCCGGCGAACTGCTAACACTGAGCTAACGCTGCTAGCGCTGTCTGTTTACTTCCGGTGGGTGTCACACTGCGAAGGTCCGACACAGAGACAGGGTCGGCTGACATCAGAAAGAAAGACATTCTGAATATCATGAATACATCTATATAAATCTATATGTCTGTAGAGAGGGAGACCTGGGTTCATCTGAGTTTCTCCATGAAGTTCTTCCTTAAAGCAACCTTCTTCTCCATGTGTTTCAGAGATGAGTTGTCGTGACGCCACATCTTGTGAGTCATGTTGAGACTGTAAATGTAAGGATACATAGGAAATATGAAGATATATAAATGGGAATTTGAAACTGATATATGCAGTACAATATGTGCACAGAATATTTACAGTGAAATGGATTGCACCAACGCAATTGAATTGCACACACAATGAATATTGCAGTTAAGAGAGCTGTAGTTTTGGATTAGTGAGAGGATGCCCGTTCACCAAAAGGAAGATGCTGGTCCAGAGGTTTGTAACAAGTAATAAGACATATATGTGCTATTGCTCATACTACCAGACTGTTTTGTGTCATTTGAATTCAAACTTGGCCTACAGACCATATTCCTTTCTCTGACCACTTTGGTCGAATAAAGATTCATTACTAAAGATCACATAGCTGCATTAGCATCATATGCTTGTTGATAATTTTCCAAGATAATAAAACTGTTGAACTCTTATCTGTGTGTGTGTGTGTGTGTGTGTGTGTGTGTGTGTGTGTTGATATGTGTGCCAAAACTACAGACAGTAGTCTGTATCTGTGAGCTGTTTAGGGTTAGTGCATTCCCAGGCCCTAGATGGCTCAAGATGAAATGCACTAGCTGGAAAAAATTGCGACTGTTTCCATCTTTCCTGAATCTGTTTATGTGTGTTTATGTCGTTGAAGCTCGACTTCTAGGCAAGAGAGACTTTAAGGAAAGTCCCTTCAGCCAATAGAAATTCAGCTTGATGTGTCTTCTTCATCTTCAGAGTCTTATTCACGATGGAGTAGTATTAGTCTCCAGTCCACCTTAACTTCAAGAGAAAGGAGGCATGGAGGCAAATGTGCAACTTGAAAGATCTGAAACTGGGTTAAACAGTTGGTGCCACTAATTCTCCGGCGTCATAAATCTCTGCAGATGTTGAGGTTGTTAAGGGTCAGTTTGTCAAACAAAGCAGAAAATGTGACAAATATATTTCTGTCTGTTTTATGTTTTCATGTGAGGAACAGAACTGTTTCCTTACACCTTATCCTTGATGATCCCTGAGATGCCTGCGTATAGTTTTGCAAGTGGTTCCTTGATGCAGTGACCCCGGAGTCTGCTGACTCCATCTTCAACATGTATCAATTAGTTTGTTGTAATGTGATGAATGTAAATCCCTCTGAATTCTGCTGGTGAAATATGAAGCTCAGATCAACATGCAGACTGGAAACAGAGGGAAAACGCAGATGATTACATTTCACTCAAGCTCAAGTGGACAAATGATAAATTACATTTTTACACAGGCGCCTGGACTCGAGCAACTGGTATTACAGAAATGTCAACCTTTATGTTTTGTTATTTCTATATTTGGTATATAATGTGGGGCAAACTAATAATAGGGGCCCACAGCTCATTTTGCCCATGCAGGGCCTCTGGTGAATCAGTATTTAAATTAGTCCCATGTTTCAGTTTTTGTGATTAATCTGTCTATTGCAGTTTTTAAAGATGTTTCAAAACATCAAGTGAAATAATTAAAAGACAGAAAAGAGAAAAATATGGTTAAACTGTATGTTTGGCCTAAAACATAAACCATCAAATCTTCATTCGTTAAAGTGATCAAACAGTGAAGGTCAATCAGTGTGAGCTCTCTTCCGTGCCAAGAATATACAGAACAATGCTCCCGGGAGCTGCAGAGCATCACTTAACATTCCCCATGAAGAGCTGCACTGTCCGGCAGCGTAACCTAACAACCACGCAGAGGAAACAAACAGAGCTGACGGGTGCAGGGGAGACAACACTGCAAGGATTCAGGATTTATCACATTTTCAAAATCAAGGCACCTGCCCTGACACATGAGCTCAGACTCTTACATCTTCGTGGAAGGTGAATGAGAAAGTCCTTTTCACTCCACCAGGTTTAGATGCATCATGTTATAAAGTGAAATGTGTCACGATATGAATTGTTGAACATGTTGTACCTCAAAAAGTGTTGCGCGATAAAGTAAAATGATTTGCATTGTTACAATATATGAATTTATCCCGTCATGTTTTTATTTCATATTAATATGAAATGTGTGTGTGTGTGTGTGTGTGTGTGTGTGTGTGTGTGTGTGTGTGTGTGTGTGTGGACCGGTTCTTCTCCTGCTGAATGATGTCATTGTAGGGGCGGGGTTATGGAGGGAGGATGTGCGCCTCGGCCACTCCCATCTTCATCTTCATCATCTCCATCATCCTCCTCTTCTGAGGTGTGTCTGCTCCGCTGGGCTGAAGACACACACAGACAGACACACACACACAGGCACACAGGCCGCCGGTGGAGTGACTGGAATCGAACCCTTCACCTGCAGCGGATCTGGTGAAGCTTCACGGAACATGGCGTCAAAATGTCCTAAATGCGACAAGACGGTGTATTTCGGTGAGTGAGGCAGAGACGTCGTGACTGTGTGTGTCTGTGAGTCTTTGTGTGCGTGTCCAGTGACAGATCAGGTTTATTACACCACAGTTACAGATGATCTACAAACAAGCCTCTGATCAAAGAGGGCTTTTATTGTTTTCCTTTGATAAATGCATTTATTTTGAAATTTAAAAAAAAAATGATGACATTAAAAAGTCGAAACTGTGAGAAAATGAGTCATAATTATCAGATTGTACATTTAGGGACTGGATGAAAAAACAGACATAATAAGGGACAGATATTTAAAGGGACTGTTAGGGAGGTTATCAAATATCTTTTAGACCAGATCATATACTGACTAATTAGCAGATTAGACGATAATGAAAATAGTTGCAGCCATATTCCATTCATGACTTAAACTGCAAAAAGGAATATTATTGTACACAACAGGGCTGAATCCCACACACACACTGCAGGAGTCGGGATGTTACAGTCATGTTCCACCAGATTTACCCAAATCTAATAAGCTCTTAATTATCTTGTATCTGCTCTTCGTCCTTATCTCCTTAGTTTGTTTTATTCTCTCTCTAAAATAATGGGAAATAAATCTGACTGTATCGATGCCGAGCAGGCGTCAGTGGGTCGAATATATTTAGATTAGGTTCATAGTCTGTTTATTAAAAATGGACGACATGACAGATCTAGAAACGTGAAGCCAAATCATCTTGATTGCCCCCTGCTGGCTGGCTGCAGCAGGGGTCATATACCCTTCCTCCTCCATGTTAGTAGTGTATAGTGTAAAGTAACGGTTAACATACAGGATTAATATAAAACATTTTCTTAAATTGATCAAGTGATTTTATGTCTGAGATTCAGGTCAGTTAGGTTCATTTCCATATTTAAGTGTTATTATTACTGGTTACGAGTGCTGATAAGATTAGAGGTGTTTTCCTTGCCCTGACTTTTAAATTCTCATTTTTAGAGGAGACAAAAAGGAGCCCCGCCACATGGCACTGTAAATAATTAATTCACTGCATGTGAGTTATTGTATGCATCGGTTTTCTTTCTGTGTTCTCTCCTCTTCATTCCTCTGGAGAACAGCAGCAAACCACTGCCTGGACCGAAACATACTGATCCCACCGAGCAGCAAATCTGATGCACTTTTAGGGGACTGATAATTAGGAGTTGGCTCAGTTAAATAAAAATGTGGTTAAAGTGAATTGAGGTGTGATTTCATGAGGTGTGTCCTCACCTTTTAGTTGTGGTTGAAATGCTCCCAATGGTTTTTAAGCTCAGAACTTTCTACTCTGGAATTTCAAACTTTGACGTAATTCAACTAACTGCAGAGTCAGATATCACTGTTTCTAAAATAACAGGGATTGTTATATATGTGCTTGTTACACGTCAATGCCAGGGTGATATCACAGTGACAGGCGGCCCAGTCAGTGAGTCTGAACAGGAAGTGTCATGTCATATCTGCAGGGATATTTTGGGAGGAGGACAAACAGATAAATCACTGTGGACGAGTTGAGTAGTTTTCTGCAAAGGCCGCTCCTGCACAAAAATGCCTGGGGTCAGCGGTCAGAAAAGTGGGAGGGGTTTGCCCTTTTTTTGTCTTGCTGAACTCGGGGTGAGCCAACTTTTCTTTGGATTAATATATGTACACATTTCTTTTTCAGTACAAACAGTAAGAAGCTAGCAGGAACAGCTTGCTAACTGAGCTGAGCATAAAGACTGGACACATTGACCCCATCTCTGTCCAAGATTATGGAGGGGCTGTGTCCTCCAGAGGACGTGGCCTGCCCAGCCCACGAAGGAAGTGGTCCACAGGGACTTTCTGTTATCAGCATAACTCTTGAGCCACAGTCGTCCACGAGCGTGTAACGCTGTAACATTTCGATGTGGTTTGATGAACATGTCCTGATTTCTGTCTCGTCTCTTTGTTCCACAGCGGAAAAGGTGACGTCTCTGGGGAAAGACTGGCACAAGTTCTGCCTGAAATGTGAACGCTGCAACAAGACGTTGAATCCAGGAGGCCACGCTGAGGTAAAAGGATCTGACCTCGATAAAACTGAAGCTTTCAACTTTCCTTGACTTTCAACAGCCACTGATGAAACAGATTATCACACAAGAGAGAGAGAGAAAGGATCAACCTGATGAAAATGAATGAAATTCTGTAACTATAAAAACTACTTGATGTTTTAAATACACACTGTGACCTCAGCAGTGAGTCGTGGGTGACCTTCTGACCACACCTCTCACAGAGAGGGCATGCTGTATGTTGATGTTACACTCTGGTTTTCCAAAAAAGGTTTTTTATTTCTCTCCTTTGCTTCATGTTTTTGGCATCATGTGAAACAAACTAAACAAACTAAGCTTTCCCTCTCTGTGTTGGAATAGTGCAACAGTGGTGGGTTGCTTTGCTCACTCTCCTCTCTCTCTTCCATTTGACAGCATGACGGGAAGCCTTATTGCCACAAGCCCTGCTATGCCGCCCTCTTTGGGCCAAAAGGTGCAAGTTCTTGTCTAGAAGTCAACGTGATCCGTTCTGATTATTTCCGTGGTCGTAAATGCATCGTTTGCGTGTGTTTCAGGCGTGAACATCGGCGGAGCTGGTTCCTACGTGTACGACGCTCCTGTCAATGAAGCCCCTGGTGCTGTTTCCATGGAAACTAATGCTAAACCGCAGGAGGAGAAAAAAGCCCCGGCACGGGGCCCAGTGAAGGGTGAGAAGTAAAAAATAGGAAAGCCATCTTCTGTTAGGAAGTGAAATTCAGAGTTCTAGAGCAGAATCTTCTCTGGAGGTTTAGATCAGGTCTCTGGAGTTGATCAAGAGGACGAACTCAGAGAGGAAGACAATTCTCAGGTTAGAGTCACGGTGATTGTCAGTGATAATTTGAAGATGTGTGTGTTTGAGCAGAAAAGTTTGGACGAGATACAAGATTGTACGTGTAAAAAAAACCACTGCACACAAACTGACCCAAGTTGTAAATCTGCAGATCAGAAAAATATCTTGTAGCTGTAATTTTCCCGCAGCAAATAATCTCATTACAATTCTGTCACTTTTCCAGCTGCGAGCTTCTCGTCTTTCTCTGGAGGACCCGACATCTGCCCCAGGTGTAACAAGACGGTATATTTCGGTGAGCACATCGCATCTTTTCATTTGCACATATCTAATTCAACGAGTTGCCATAGTGACTGTCTCCATGGTGGCCTGTGTGTGCAGCCGAGAAGGTGTCGTCTCTCGGGAAGAACTGGCACCGGCCCTGTCTGCGCTGTGAGAGATGCAGTAAGACTCTGTCTCCCGGCAGCCACGCAGAGGTAAGATACGGGACAATTCTTTTATTGTGCGATCTTATCTTGCTGTTTTTAATTGATGAAACCATATATGGAATTGTTGTCTTCCTCTTACAGCACGATGGACAGCCTTACTGCCACAAACCGTGCTACGCTGTGCTGTTTGGACCCAAAGGTGAGAAGTCAGAGACTGTGGGCAGCAGAGTGGCTGGTCAAATGATCTTGATCGCCCCCTGGTGGCTTGCTGCACTATTGGTCAAAACCTTGGGGGGGGGGGTTCATGTAAGAATTTTGTTGGGTAAATTGACTCCGTCTGACCCGTCACTCTCTCTCTCTCTCTCTCAGGAGTAAACACTGGCGGTGTCGGTAGCTACATCTATGACGAGCCCGAAGCTGAAGCTCAGCCTTGAGCTCTGACATAGAACCACTTCCAGGACGTCTCTTTAATTTGCCTTCAAGTGTCATGGTGACAAATGACATGTACTGTACTCACAGGGATGGATATTTAGACATTTATGTTGTATTTGTACATTGTTTATATATCTATTTTTTGTACTGAAACAAACCTTTAACATATCCTCCCTGGTGTGAGTTTCAGATTTGCCTTTCAGTTCCTTGGTTCTCTTTGCCAAATTTTTTATCAGCCTGTTACGTATGGTGGATTGTTTTTTGTTTCACTCATGATTAATAGTTTTTCAGACTTTTGTGCACTTGAAACACGAAATTATTAAAAAAAAGAAGTACCAGCCGAACAATTTACTGTCAGTGTTGATCCAGGCTCGAAAGTGAAGGTGTAGACGTAGTGAAGTTACACAGAGATGCGTGTTTTACTGAATGTTATGAGGGTGAGTTTGTGAACAAAAACATTTTCTGCAGTAAAACTGTGTCATACAAAATGTTTGCGTGTGTTTGATTGCTGGTTGGTCCTTGGTGGAGGTATGTGTCCTAATGAGTCACTCTAGTTTAAAATCAGGCTCACAGATGAGTATTTAAGCCTTAATGTCAGTTTTAATGTAGACCAGGAGCTGAGGTGATCCAACAACAGGTATCATGAGATCTGAAATAAACAACCAGGCTACATTGACCTTGTATTTTAGTCCAGGAATATAAGCAGATCCCATAATAATAACATCCGGTAATGTCCTCACCTGATCATTCACATTCCTGCCTTGTTACAGGACGTCTCTGTTATCACGTCTGGTCCTGTTGATCCTGTTCCAAAGAAAAAGGTAAAAACGTCACTGACAGGATGAGGTTGGAAACACCTCATTACTCACCTCTTGACTGGAAACAGGAAGATGAGACGTGTCAAGCTGCGCAGAATAAAACCAGGAGAATTTTATTACAAAATAATGGTGTAGAAAGTGACAAAAACACTACAGTAAAAATAAACTAAATTGATAAGAGAGTAAACAAACACTACAGTGAAAGCTGTATTATATCTACATCCATTTTTTAAATTCTATTGTCTTTTTGAATTCTCTTCACTACCTCATTCTCACCTGCGGCTGTAACAACTGAATTTCCCCAGTGCACACACATCAATACATTTTTATCTTATCCTAATTAGTAAGAACACATTCAATTACAGTAACACATATTTGAAATAATTGCACTTTGTTATAGATCCACCACAGTTTATACTTTATGTTTATCTGAAAAGTATTACCATTTGATATTTTTATAATTTTCTTAATGCACATTTTAACATTTAAGAGTCTGTGGCTGTTAAATATTGTATTTACAATATAATATGAGATAATAGAAGTAAAACTAGCTTACTACATATCACTACAGTGTAAATGTACTTATTTATCTTCTTCCTTTGCAGTAGAAAGATAAAGCCACCCAACACAACATGCAATAGTAAATATTAAACTCTATTTGTAGAGAGCAGCTTACAAACACATTACAAGGTACTTTAGTTAAAATAAACCTCTTAAGGGATAATAACGACGTATTGATTGACAGAACATTTTCTGATTTGAGATGATTCTGTGCTTTCATTTGTTAAGAGGCGGTCTTATTTTGAAAGCGATGAGCGGAAGACGAACCTCCTCTGGTAGTAACCGGAAGTGAAGCCTTTTATTCTTTGGCTAACTTAGCACTTGTGCTACTTCCGCTCTCACGGGCTCGTTGTTCGGTCGCTTCGTCGCGGAATCGGACGCGCGTCGATATTTTTTTAAACGGCAGAAACATTTTAAACTTTATGTTCAGTAAAGAATCGTTTCCGCTTCGATAAGAACGCGCATCGCCCGCCTAGCTAGCCGTTAGCTCGTGACGCCGTTAGCCCGGAGCAGGAGTCCCTTCGCCTGGTGCATGTTGTCTCCACTCCACGGACATGTTGGACGGATCTCCGGCGCACTGCGATGAGACAAACATCGGAAACGTGGAGAACAACAACCCGGTGAGGTTGATCTCCGGCTGCGATGGGATGAACGCGGGGAACCGAGCGAGGCAGGCGCTGCTGAAGAAGGGAGGGAGGAGGCTGCACCAGCCGCAGAAGCAGCCGAGGAACAGCCCGAGCATCCTCCTGTCGGACCGCAACAACAACAACACCCTGACGGCCTCCGCCGCCAACAGAGCCGCGGCTCAGCCCGAGTCCCCGGCGCCGAGCCTGCATCAGCTGAGACAGGGGGCCAGGAAAGAGGTGAGCTCCCGGGAGGCAGATGCCTTCACCCGGCGCTGTCTGTCGTCAAGGGTCGACACACAACCAAGTGTTCAGCAGCTCCTGAGTTAATGAGATAAAACTCCTTGAACTGAACTCATCCACCATCATCTCATCGACTCCTGTCTTATCAAATACACGCATTATAATAATCCTCATTTGATGGCATTCACATTGGATTTATTTTCAGTTAAAATACAAACTTCATAGTTTTGAATTCCACAGTAAAGTTCTGCACGTTAGAAGTTTCCATATCAGTATAATCATCCTTAGCTGCAAAGCAACTGCAGCTGCAGAATAATTAAGGATTACATTTCATAAAACTAAAATACTGGTTAAACTTCTTAAGTCATATTTTAACTATCCCCTTTAACTATTATTTGTCAGTTTTTGTAGTACTTTATGACAGTGAACTTGAATTAGAAGTAAGCAAGGCCCTGGTAGATTACAGGTATTTCCTCTATAAAACTGCACTAATCACTTTAAAACCAACAAAAACATGAACTGCATGACTTCAAAAACAATTCAGACGTTGAAAACAATGTGTTGCATGTATATTTGTCTCACTCAAAGATATTTAACTTAGTCAAATGATTAAAATGTCCACGAGTTCTTGCATGAAGCGAGTTTTAATCTTGATTAAATGCTGTGTCGTGCCTGAGGCAGTTTGAGGTGACGCAGTTACTAATCCTTGTGTTGAAGAAAGTGGTCATGTGATGAGCAAGATCAACTTCCTCTTCCTGCAGCTGCAGGTTGTGCAACACTCAACGAAGGTGTCATGACTGTTTTGTGGTGAAGGAAGTGGGTGAAACTTTGTCTCACAGCGAGCTCCCTGAATTCCAGTGGATCTTTTGATCGAGTATCTGTTTTATCTGTTAAGTGTCTCTTTGTTGATATCGGTCAGGTAAAGAGGGCGTGGGATTAAGATTTAAGTTTTCCGGTATGAAAACTTTTTTCTGAATAAACAATGCAGAAAAATATGCATTTAAGTTCTAAATATAAATAACAAAGTTTATTTCTGTATTCCAGCTCTATATATTGTATTTATAATAGAGTTTGTGGTTAAACTGTCAAATATGACAACCTATTAGGAATTGTTGATTATTGATTATATTATTACTCTGTTACACACTCGTCTGTCTATGAATTCACTTTTCCACACACCAAGAGGATGTTTAGTCAGTTTGATTAAATAAACAGAATCAAATCCACATAATTCTGCAACTGGATCCCACCATTCTTTGACAATGTTGCCTGAAAAGAAAAGTCAAAGCGATTAATCATCATAATAGTCAACTTATTGTTTCGGCTCTGATGCTAAGCTAACCATGTCCTGACTGTGGCTCCGTACCTCACGCGCTGCCATCAGATTGGTAATGAATGTTGTCTTATGTCACAGTTGATGATTAGTGGCCAAATAATCCATTGTTGTAAATTTGAGGCGAGCTTTGTTTCCAACTTCAAATGTGAACGTTTACACACAACATGATGAGAACGATTCAATATTGTGATTTAGTTTCATTATTCATCTTATGTTTCTTTTTCTGTAGCTGCTGAAATCCAAAGGTGGTCGAGTGGAGCGAGGGGCCGTTCAGCTCGGGGGTCAATCTGCCCGCAACCTTCCCCGACACGATCAAGTGAACCAAAATGTGAACACCCGGAGCCACAAGCCCAAGCAGGACCAAACACCCGGCGCTTCTCATGCCACAAAGAAGAGAGATCCCAGCACTCCCAACAAGCCATCCTCTCTTCTCCCGCCTCCATCGCAAGAGCAGAAGAAACCTCTCCACTCCTCCAACAACGTGAAGATCGTGAGCGCACTCCTCGCTGAACCTTCCCCCGAATACCTCAAAGATGGCGAGAAGGTCTACGCTGGAGCGAAGTTCAGCGAGCCGCCCTCGCCCAGTGTCTTACCCAAACCACCCAGTCACTGGTTCGGAGACAATGAGCCTCAACACAGCAACCAAAGCCGAGAACAGATGACTGTTCAATTAAAGTCGCTGCTCAAGGTTCAAGATTCGCCATGACCACGGTCTGGATTTTTAAATTGGAGCATGTCCGATACCTGATTAACAACGAGCGCCAACAATTGGAAAAAATATAATCCAGTAAAAAGAATTTGGCCTTTAACACACTGCAATACAACTTAGGGAGTTTTTATCAACCTTAATACAATTTCCCATCAGCCAACACGCTGCCTGCATTTGTGAACATTTTGAAAAAGTGCCGCTGCTTGAGATTGGACATGCTGCGTATGTCGGGGGTTTTTGCGGAGGAAAGAGAAAGTATCGTGTTTTCGAGCAGATGTAAAAAAGCAGAACTAGTTTGAGGTCGACTCCAGCAGCAGCACGATCAGCGCGTGATGCAAGATGATGATGGCACTTTCTTTATGAACACTTTGGATGAGGCAGCCTTGTCTTGATTGATTGATGTTTTAAAGAGCTTGTGTAAATGTACATAATATATTTGTGTATATTTTTCCTTGTTATTTTAATTGAGATTCTAGTTTTGTTACTGAGGGGGGGGGGTTTAAAAAAAAAAAGAAGAAGCGTTCCCTGCACACCGAGGCACTTTGTGACGGCTCCGTCAGTGTGAGGCACAGTGGACGTAAGAAAGACTTTTCTTACTGATTTGCACTGTAAAAACAGAACATAGGGAAAACCAAGGGAGTTTGATGTTCCACAACTCGACCAGCCACTTCGATGAATTCACCAGCCAGCGAAGAGCACAGGAGAGGACTTCCAGCTTCTGGTTGATTTCTTTTTAAAATGGCACAGATAGTGGATCAATCAAAAAGAAGCCACCGTCTTAATTTAACCAGCTGGTGGCTGAAGTTCTTCCCTTTCCCTGAACTGAACACGAGTCCAGCTGCTGGAGACGCCTTACGTCAAATCAGGGACTGTGAATCTGACGAGGCTGCGGAAGCCTGAGGGAACCGAAGAACCGCCCGCTGCAGAAAGTCCGGATCAAGCAACAAGAACGATTGTTTGTTTTTTTCCCTTAACTTTAATGCACTGATCTAGAGTACGTCCACATCGATCCAGATAAATCGAAAACATTTTTTTCTGCGTGTCCACGTGAATCCAGAGTTTTTATACCTTACAGAACAAGTTTTAGTCGGTGAATCATGAAAGGCTAATGTGACAGTATATCAGCAGTAAATCAGTTACTAATTGGCGCTGAAATGATTTGTCCGTTAAAAGAAAAGATATTATGCAACTGCTTTAACGGAGACATGTTGTTCTACATTAGGATGATGAGGAAGGATTGCCTGGACTGTTGATCAGGTTTTTCTTGGTTTTCCTTTTACCACAGACTTTGGGATTTTTCTATCTTTGCAGAAAACACAGAAAACAATACAAGAGGATAAAAACACTGAAAAAGCATCATATGTCTGCTTTGATAATTCATTGTTGTCAGAGCCATTGTCCAAGCGAAACGTGTTTGGATTTACTGCTTTCATATAATCCAAACTGAAATCTGGAAGATTTGAGAGATCGATAATGAAAATATAGGAACAAAAAATTGCCTAAAACTGATTTGATGAGCTTACGATCATGAAAAGAGGTTTTGTCTCGCTCCAGTTTGTCGAATGAAAAGACAAAGACAAGTGCTCAGGTGTTTATTGTGGATGGAGAACTTTATGAAAATGATAAGAGAACACAACAATGCTGCATTTTTATATGCAAACTGTTTTAACGATTTCACGGCTTCATGTGGACGTACTTACTTTGTCTGTACGTGTTTTTTTAACAGGGGAATTGTTTTCACAAACTTCATCTCATGTTCATTTCCATTGCCTTGAGATACATTCATGTTTACCAGGAGAGCGGCGTGTGTTGAATTTGTCACACGATCCTCCAGCGGTGTACTGTGTGTATTTCTTTTTCTAACTGAAATTGTTTCTGTGGATGCAGGCAGCTGCTGGGTTTTTGTCTCTTGACCTCTGTGACGTCACGTAAATGGAAATATTTGTATTAATGTTGAAAAAAAAATCAGCCCATTTTATTGCAGTGTTTTAACGTTGTGTCATTCCAGTTGTAAACAAATATGTTGAGCAACTCACCTCCATTAACATAATTGGTAAAAAAGTTTTTATATCTATTAAGAAAAAAAGGCTATCATTCACATGATATCTAAATTATATTAAAATATTGATCTCCCCTACAACACTCTGCTTTGTGTTTACTGATCTGTCACTGACGTCGTTCTGTATTTCTGCTACAGCCGTAGAACACAACTGATTATTGTAATAGATTAATAATTAGAAGTGTTTCAATCAAATTCGTTTGACTGCAAAGTTAACAAATTCAGATTTTTGCTTTAAAGCAGCTGTGAGATACAAACATATTTTTTACTTTCTATCTTCTGCTGTAAACTTTATATTAGCAGCTGCATTCGGACCAGGTCAGCCTGAAACCTCTACCGCCCGCAGGGTTGCCAGGTCAGATGAAATTTAATTTAGTTTTATCAGTGTCTCTCTCTCTTCCCCTTTTCTTCCTCTACCGTTCAGGATGGCATGCGTTATCTGCAGTTAATGAAATACAATACAAAACACCTTATCGTATAAATGACTATATTTTATTTATATACTCATAATGAATATGTATCAGTAGGCTTCATATTTACTCTTAGCATTTGTACGTATTTTATTTCAACTCATAACCGCCACGTTAAAGGTTCAGTGTGTAGAATTTAGTGACATCTAGTGGTGAAGTGTAATGTTTCAGCTGAATACCCCTCACCTCCCCCTCCCCTTCCAAACATGATAGAGAACCTGTGGAATTTAAATATAAAGGAAACAACAATTTAGACGAAACACTAGTGAGAGCATCACAAGGATCATTTTATATTTAATTTCTGCGAATAGATCCTTTCACCTGAATCTCTGCTCCTTTCATTTACAACCACTGGGTTTGTGTAGAGAATGCAGGCGAGTGTTCTCAAATAACTGTAGGAAAGTTCGAATGATCATTTTTCATTATGAGTCCAAAACAAACCAGCTGCTTTAAAAAAAAGGGGGAAAAAGCAGTTTTATTTTGAAAAACGGCTCCTCGCCCCGGAAGAGCTTGTTCGTTGACCCCGTCTGACCCAGACTGGGTTTCCGGTGTGTGTGTGATGTTGGAGGAGTTGTGAACCAGTTGCATGGTTGTGTGTCCGCGGAGGAAACGACCTCACCTGTGTGTTTCTAACGTGTTTCTTCGTCTGAGCTCCGGAGCGCACGAAGACGTTCGGTGAGTTTTACTGTGAAAACAGAGAAGAAACATCCGGTCTCGTCTGTCCAGGTGTCAAATGTCCGCGGCTGTAAACAACCAGGTTTCTTCTGTTTCCGCATCGCGATGTGTTCGTTCGACACAAACTCTGTCTGCACGGTGTCTGAGGGCACGCGACGCTGAGCGTGCGCGTGGATTTATATCGTTAATGCTGCAGAGTCGGCCAGTTAGCATTTAGCATCGGCTAGCTACGTGCCCCCCGGGGGCTCCCGTTTTAAAGGTGATGTTTGTTTACATGTCAGCGCGTCGGAGCCAACTCCACATGTTCGATGCTGGTACGATGTCACGACCGTTGAAGTTGTGGTCGTCAACATTTACGTTTAAATATAAGAACTCTGAGAAGATGCACGTTCAGTCCTCATATTTCAGGAAACATGAATTTAAAGATGAACCTGTGACGCAAACCTCCACTCACTGGACGTCCAAGGGGGGGAGGGGCACGAGTCAAAATACAAGTGTCCTTATAAAACGACTTAACTTTGCTTCAGATGTAAAAAATGATTTAAATTCTTTGACAAACTTCACTGAGGTCTGTTTTCCTGTGTCAGATGTGACTGTGGCACCCGTCGACCATGAGTAACAGTCACCCCCTGCGACCGCTTGCCTCTGTGTCGGAGATCGACCACATCCACCTGCTGTCGGAGCAGCTGGGCGCCCTGGTGCTCGGTGAGGAGTACAGTGATGTTACCTTCATCGTGGAGGGGAAGCGCTTCCCGGCGCACCGGGTCATCCTGGCAGCTCGATGTCACTACTTCAGGTAACCGTGATCGTCTCAACTCTCCAGTCTTGTTACTTCCCTCAGTCCTACAGATCCCTCGGTAAGCTCACCTTTCACAGTTGTAATAACTGCACCCCCACCCTCTTGCCAACAGTTAATCACCAGGTCTTTTTCTTCTCTTTATTCAAGAGCGTGGTCTTTCAGTTCGAGAGCAGGATTCATTGACTTCATGTTCCAATATTGTAATATCTTCACTTAAAACCCTTTGCTCGCACCCAAATGGACCCAGCTTGTGCTGAGATTTGCTCCTCTTGTGCTCAAACGTGGCGCCTGCATTCAGATATTTTGTTGCTTGGACAGATTTCCTGCGCATCTGCTTCAGTCCTCCTCGCACTCACGCTGCTTCTGTGCACACGTCACATGTCCGCTCTTGGATTTTTGTCTGTCAAATTTCCATGATCAGTAGAATTAAGAATCAATCCATTATAAACAAAGAGTCTTAGCTGCTGAAAAAATAATTTGCAAGCTGTGATATCTGCTCATGGCATGATAATTAAATACTGAATATCTTTGTCTTATTTTCAATCTATGTGATGACTTCCCCATATAATGAATAACAAATTAAGATGAAGACACTTTATTTCAAGTTGTGATTGGATGTGCCGGCCCTGTGGACTTCCTGCTTCTATATTTCATTAACTTTAATTTGCTTGTTCTGGCTCCGTCAGGGCCCTGCTGTATGGTGGGATGAAGGAGTCCCAGCCCCAGGCGGAGGTGTGTCTGGAGGAGACCCGGGCCGAAGCCTTCTCAATGCTGCTACACTACCTGTACACGGGACGGGCCAGCCTCAGCACCACTCGAGAAGAGGTGGTGCTGGACTTCCTGGGCTTGGCTCACCGCTACGGCCTGCAGCCGCTGGAGGACTCCACCTCTGAGTTCCTCCGCACCGTCCTGCACACCAACAACGTCTGCCTGGTGTTTGACGTAGCCAGTCTCTACTCTCTGAGCGCGCTCAGTGCAGCCTGCTGTGCCTACATGGACAGACACGCACCTGAAGTGTTGAACTCTGATGGTTTCCTCACGCTCTCGAAGGTAGGAAGTGTCAGGATCATGGAAGAGCAGACAAAGAGCCACAGTCAGTATTGTATCTGGTTCATTGTCATATTAGGATGAACTCAATTATTCCTTCATGATATTTAATTCTGAACTGGGCTGTAAATGACCTGCATAGCTTTGGTGTAACGTAAACCTGAGAAGCAGTGTCCTCTAGTGGCAGGTGAGAGGTTTGTACAGGACAGAACAGCAGACGTCACGTCCTCAAATGAAACCGCAGGACTTTAGGCCACAGCATGTGTCAGTTGATGGAACTAAATAATAACAACACATTATTGTTTACAAATTTCACAACCATCGACGGTTCTGAATCGTCTTCGTTGTTATTTTCTGTGATCTGCTTCGGTATCGCTCCCCCAGCTTAGATCGTCAGTAAAGCTACTTTACATTTCCCATAATGCAAGTGTTTCAGTGAATCACGATGTATTTCATCATTCAAGTGTCTTAAAAATGTTGACATCGTGTAAAACTTGCAGTCTTATCCGGCTCTGAAGTTGCACCCGCTCTTAAAGGTATATACACGAATATGTTGCATGAGGTCTAAAGGTTTAAAATGTGTTTACAGACGGCTCTTCTGACTGTGGTCAGCCGAGACTCATTTGCTGCCAGCGAGAAGGAGATCTTTCTGGCCTTGAGCCGTTGGAGTCGGCACCACGGGGAGGGAGCTGACACACATGAGGTGATGTCGGCGGTGCGGCTGCCACTCATGACCCTGACGGAGATGCTGAACGTGGTGCGGCCGTCCGGCCTTCTGAGCCCAGATGACCTGCTGGATGCCATTAAGACCCGATCCGAGAGCCGCAACATGGACCTCAACTATCGGGGAATGCTTAGTCAGTGCTCTTCATCCTCCACCTGCTCACAGTTACTGTCACTGCTGTGGATCAAATCAAACATTAATTGCAAAATGTAATCTGGTTTACTTCTGTTCTTCTTGTACAGTACCAGAGGAGAACATCGCCACCATGAAGTACGGAGCTCAGGTGGTGAAAGGGGAGCTGAAGTCAGCTCTGCTGGACGGAGACACCCAGAACTACGACCTCGACCATGGCTTCTCCAGACATCCTATTGAGGAGGACGGCAGGGCGGGGATCCAGGTCAAACTGGGACAATCGTTCATTATCAACCACATACGCCTCCTGCTGTGGGACAGAGATAGCCGGTAAGACGAGCTTGTCTCACTCTGCCAAAATTAATGAAACAAAAAAAAAAGCTGCCACAGCGGGATGTGAATTTTTTCTTTTGACACTTATTATAATTCACATGAGTTTTATTATTATTATTATTAAGACACAACTTCAGTTTATTAATGAAGAAGCTGGTTCTGACAAACTGTGGCCCTGTTCAGACCTGATATCAGTTTCTGTCCTGAGAGATCCGATCACAAGAGGATCGTTCTGAGTTTGTTGGTTATTTTCTCTTTCTGCTGTCTGATTAACCTCATCACACTGACTTGATGCATAATGTCAAACTCAACATGAGGCGCTTTGTGCTCTGATTGATTATTGAAGGTCGTACTCCTACTACATCGAGGTGTCAATGGATGAGCTGGACTGGGTGCGTGTTGTAGACCATTCCAAGGTCCTCTGCCGCTCTTGGCAGAATCTGTACTTCACACCACAAGTTTGCAGGTAGACCGATGCTGAGCACACACACACACACACACACACACACAAATATATAATGTTATATAATTTCCATCTGGTGTTTTTCTCTTTTGCTTCAGGTACGTTCGCATTGTGGGAACACACAACACGGTCAACAAGGTCTTCCACCTCGTGGCTTTTGAATGCATGTTCACCAACCACTCATTTACCCTGGAGGACGGACTTGTGGGTAAGTTAAATAAAAGTCTTCACTGCCCCTGTAGTTTTCAAGAGACTTCCTGTGCAGCTGTGTTGTTCTATATTAAATCTGCGCTCTGGTAAAGTGCAGAGCAGCTAATTATCTGCTGTGCAAAACAACTCTTCAAACCTGTGCTTCATGTCTGCAGTGCCCAGCGAGAATGTGGCAACCATCGCCTCCTGTGCCAGTGTCATCGAGGGTGTGAGCCGTAGCAGAAATGCCTTGCTCAACGGAGACACGCGCAACTACGACTGGGATTCTGGATACACCTGCCATCAGCTGGGCTCTGGAGCCATCGTCATCCAGCTGGCTCAGCCCTTCTCCATCGGATCCTTAAGGTAGATCTGCCCACGTTGTCAACTGGAGCAAGAAACTGTTCAAATTTACACAATTACACCAGAATCCTGGAAGGAAACATTCTGTGTGTGACATAGATTCATGGCATTGGTGGCAAATACAATTAAAATGTCACTCAGTAGAGCTCCCACCTTCACCGAGGCCCAACAGTCTCCTCATGAAACCACATTTAAATTCACTAGGTCTTGGATCTGCACCATCTCACATTCATAAATACCTGATGAAAACCTCACACTGAATGTTGGTACTTTTTAAGGTGAAGTAGAAAACGAGTCCCTGGATGTTATTAAAGCTCTTTCCTCTGTTCAGGCTGCTGCTTTGGGACTGTGACGAGCGCTCCTACAGTTACTACGTCGAAGTCTCCACCAACCAGCAGCAGTGGACGAAGGTGTTGGACCGCACCAGGGTGGCGTGTCGGTGAGGCTCCTGTTTCCTCGTCTTATTACTTCCTTTATCAGGCTTTGATTAATCCCGTGACATTAAGAGACCAGCTTTACATGATGACATTCTAAAAACATTTTGACAATGTTGTCTCGTCCAGATCATGGCAGACCTTGACGTTTGATAAGCAGCCGGCTTCCTTCATCCGTATTGTTGGGACTCATAATACTGCGAATGAGGTGAAAACACATTTGACTGTGAATGTCAGTCGTTTGTCTGTTTGTTGTTTTAATGCTACAGGAAACAAAAACATACGTTGGAGCAGAATTTAACTTTGTGCGATGTTGACTGTGAATTCTCTGCAGGTGTTCCACTGTGTTCACTTTGAGTGTCCGGCCCAGCTCGACACAGAGGTCAATGAAGGAAGTCCTGGCCTGAATTCGTCTGACTCTGACGCTGCCTCCCAGCAGCCACGACCCCAGCGACCTTCACGCACACACAGCCTGCTGCCCTCCCAGCCCTCCCAGCCCTCCTCCACCCCATCGTCGTCCTCACAGTCCCATCTCTGAGAGCGCCCTCGCCCCCTCGCTGGAGGGTGCTGAGAGGAAGGGAGACCTCAGAATGCCATTTTGCACAGCGTTCATCATCCAGACTGCACTGCTACAACGCTAATTAAGGCGATCGTCTCATTGTCATAACCTGTGGTCCCTCTGTCATAAGTGCAACATTAGACACTGGTATATCTGTAGCAGAAGCGTTTAGGGCTCCAGTCTTCCTCTTAGTTCTGAAACTGAAAGTCAGATATTTCATCCACTGGCCCGTGCATTTTTGTGAAGGTACTTTTTCAGCTACTAGAACTCAAGTTTTCTCCCGTCAAAATCAACTGTAAACTTCACTTCTCCAAAGATGAGGCACACACTGAGATGTGGTAGTACTGTACCGCCAAAGAACAGTAAGACCAGGAGGGGAAGAGCGTTGTTATCTGAATTTTACGAGTTAGTATTTCCAAAAGAAATGGATTTTATCCTTAAACAAGCTATTTTTTTAAGGAACTGTCTTAAAATGATTCTACTCACTTTTCATACCATCAAGCTAACCGAGTAGACGTCAAGTATTTTTCAAACTGTGGAGTTAAATCTCTGAAAGGTTTGCCAAAGCTGCCGAGCTAATGCTTTCTGTGGCATTTGTATGCAAATAGCACTTAATCCAATTATGCATTTGCATATTAAGTAATGGCTGTTTTAGTATTTGTCGACGGGCTTTCACACCTCAAACCAAAACCTGTGGTCCTCATCTGGTGTTGAGTTTTTTTTCTTAGTTGAAATTCATACCTCAAGAAAAAACCTTGCTAAAATTTCAAGTTGATTTAATTAAGTGTCTTAATGAAACATTTTAAGCACTTGAGTGGCTTAGCACAGATGATTGGGGAAATCAATTAGGTCAATGAATATTGGCACTGACAGGCTCGGACCAAATTACATATATGCACTAGAGCTGCCTGGAAGAAGGTTCATATACAGAAGATGCACGAGCAGCTGTCGTCGGCACTTTACTTTACTCAAGTATACAGAAATAAAGTTTGCGGCTTGGGTCCCCTGACTGAAGTACAGTTGTGGAGTGCTGGGTTTGGTTTCTTTCTATTTTATGTTAAGTTAATTTGAACACGTCCTCGCTCATGGAAGTGTCTGTTTATGTGTTTTTAAATTAAGCTATCAGTGCCGTGGTTTCCTTTGTGTCCTGATGTTGCACTTTTGAGTTGTCTCCTGTGTTTGAATCCTTTTTGTTTGATGTTAGATTATCTGAAATAGCTATCTACAGTGGGTGACACACTGATGTTTCTATAAACCCCCTTCAGTCATCCCTGTCTATGTTTTAGAAGAAGTTGAATGAAGTATTCTTTAATAAATAACCAGAGAAGTGAAATAGGACATTGTTTAGGTTACACTCCCCACCCTCCTCCTCACTTTGTGTATAGTTTTAACTAATAAATATATTTGTTTTGACCATTGATGTGCGATTGCATTTCACTGCCTCTGGTTTAAAGAACGTGGTTAGGGAAGCAGCTGACCTAGTTTCTGAATGTTCATCGCTGTTCGGTGTCTGCCTGAGTCACTGCTGTCGAAACAAAGTGAAGGTCTTTGATACGAGCAATACAGTGATTGACACCTGTTCTGTGTCGAGAGCTTCTGTTACAGAGCAACAGTTGATCAGTCGACATGTTGGTCGCCATGCTGCAGGTTGCTCTTCAGGCTATATTCATATGTAATACGACCCTTTTTTTGTTGGGATTTTTGTCATGAAACATTTAAAAAAATTTGAAGCTCAAATTGTCCTTTTTGTCTTGTTTCGTTCGCCCCATAGGAACAGAGGAGACTCTTTTAATCAGAACTCTGATTTGATTCACAAAATGAAAATATTTTTGAAAATGATATAACTAGAATGTCAAGGTCCTACAGTCCCCTGAGGAAGCCACATTTAAAGTCACCAGATCCTGATTTTTATTCGGATCTGCACCAACTCACACGAATAAACATCCGTCCCCTCAATATGTCTGATTTTTCAAATCAAGATCGACAAATTCTCTTAGAACTCCACGAAGATTTTGCCAAATACAACATGTGATCAATGTGGAGATCCAAGTGAATGCACGCGCTGAATTCAATTCAGGTTTATTTGCATGGCACCAAATCACAACACGAATGATGTCAGGGCATTTTTAAAAACATTTTATCGGGGAGAAACCTCTGGAAGTAGAGTCAGAGTTGGTGGCCATCTGCCTCCACTGGTGGTTAAAACGTTAAGAGGCCGACTTTGAACTTTTTGGTTTGAAGTCCAAAGTTGTTGGGCTGGTTCTCTGCCTGTGCTTTTATTTAGACTTTATAGAAAACTATGTTTCAGGTTCCATCGGATAGAACATGGAGCAACATCAAAGCCAACCCCTGTTTCTCGTCACATGTTTGTGGCTCCTCGGTTTCTTTGGTACAATATTGACATTAGTGCTTTGATGGACGCGTTTCCGGTCCACGGTTCCCGGAGCCCTCGACGTGTGAACAGGGGTGGTCCTGATGCGCTCGGAGGGGAAGGCCTTCCTCTATCTATTTATTTTCGCTCCTCTCTTCCCTCCCACGCATTTAACGTCGGTGAGTGTGTTCGGTGAACGTGTAGCTGGACGTTGGTGGATCTCCCGGAGCCTTTAGGTGTCGACCGAAGCACAGGGACGCCCCCGTCGCTTCGCTCGCCCGTCGAAACGTCCCAACGTCCAGCTGATCGCTTCCCCGGGACTCGTTCGATTCCTCCGCTTCAAACGCTCGGTTCCGCTCGACCGGAGGATTCCTGCGGTCCGCTCCGCCTCCAGCCCGTGGACCGTAAAACAAAGAGGACATTTATCCGTGTTTGTGGATCGTTGTCCCTCAGGGATCGACCAGGCCCCGGACTCATCCTCCAGCCTCGCGTTTCCTCATCGCTTCTTTTCTTGTGTCGGAGTCATGGGAGACACCAGCGAACGAAGCAAACCCCCGGGTCTCCCTCCCCGGTGTCCCTGCGGATTTTGGGGGTGAGTTTGAACCTCGGTTCGATGTGGACCAAACCCGGATGGGACGAGGCTCAGCGGGTCTCACCCAGTCCGAACCCATTGTTGTTGTTCTGCTGTGCAGGCCGAGGGTGGGGGGTTGGGGAGTTAGCTAATAAATAAACCTGCTAGCTTGAAAACTAGCTAAACCTCCGCCTGCTCTTCAAAGTCCACCAACGCTCTTTGGACGTGTCGAAGGCTGCGGGTGCTTGTCGCCGCAGAGACGTCGTGTTCTGGGGGGTTCGTGGACTCGGGAGGTGACGGACCCGACACGGAAAATGATTTATTACCAGCAGGTTCCTTTTAAACCTGTTTTCGTTGCCCGAGCCTCGGTGGAAGAAAAGCGACGGCTAGCACGTTAGCTTGTTTTAAACTTCCCCTCCCTCAAACAGAGCTGTGCTAATGGGCTAATGGGTTGTTTTAGGGGATTTCACACCTTTTACAGTCGGTCTGGATGTGAGTTAGAAACCGGATGTGATCCACTGATGGCCCCTGTGCAAGAACAATGTCTACATGTAAACCCTGAGTGGATTTAACAGGAAGGGTTCTCCATGACAGAGTCACTACAGGCGAAAAACATGGAACATGACAAGATTACTCATCACATTACTGAGAACCACACACACACACACACA